CAGGAATTCCTGCAGAATCTGCAGGAATTCCTGCAGGAAGAAAAATTTCAAAATGAATATTCATAAGAGTTATTAACATATTTGACAACTATACATCATACTTGTCAAGCATGTATAAAGACTTTGTACCAAGTGCTTTTATATTGAAAATATCAGCACTTGTCAAAATGGGAAAAGTGGAATTCCAAACTTATATTGGAGACTGTTTCAGTGTCTTACCAACCTGATGAAACTATTCACGGAGGTACAAATGTAACAGTTACAGTATTATTATTATGATAATCATAATTATGATCTGTGCTTTAGTTGATGCTCTGTCCTCTGCTGCATGATAGTGGCAGGACAGGTAGACTAAGGTAACTTTCATCTTTTTGTCAAAGTCATTGGGCTACATGTAGCTCAGAAGAAATGACAGACTGTAGACTTCATGCAGTCACTGTGGTGTTTGACATAAACTATATTTATTAATATATAAAAACAAGAATGTGCTTAGTACAGTCACATGTTTGTGACTTTGGGATAAATTCTGTCTGACCTCTACCTTTTCCCTACAGAAATACTAAGCAAATACAATAGATTACTGAACAAACCCCAGCACTAAAGAACATGAAGGAGATATAGATTCAGAGCAAATGCCAGGGAAAATGACATTTTGCTAATTGGCATGAGACATTTAGTATACAGTCCTCCTTTCTTCACACAATAAGCTCAAAAGGATAGTGACTGCACTAAGATTATTATTCTGTTATTCAGCATGATAGGTGCATATATACAAGGCTGTTTGTGTTTTTTGTCACATGCTGGGTCACTTTCAGGCTTGATCTCCCTGTCAATCAATGGTCAAAACCACTCCCACCCTCAATAGAAAACGCTGCTACTCGGACATGAAACACACAAACTCACAAGTCATGATCAGGCACATGTACACAAAACAATTATATACTTCTGTGCCCAGGAGTAACTACGTCTTGAATACTAGACTAAGTACACTGGGTGTTGAAGAAGAAACCAAAGTTGTTGAGAGGAAGTGTGCACCTGTTTGAGCATGTTGAGGAGTGATTTGCTGTTGTCTCTCCACAGCTGGTCCAGCTCACTAGAGAAGGGATGTTTACAGCAGCTCACCCACACAGCAATCTCCATACAGCTGTGGTAGTTATAGTTGTAGTCCTGGAAGTGTCAGATTTGACAAAGTCTATTCATTTAATGACTGAGGACTGCTTTCATTGTTTAGGTTTCTAATATCAACAAAGTTCTAGGCTGATTAATCTCAATGCTCTATTTCAACACCAAAAACAATGCAAATTCCATGAATGTAATTAAATAATGTTATAATATCTGGTAAACCAAGTATTAAGCAATACAATGCCCTTGGTAAAATAAAGCACAATTCAGTGCACGGTGGGGTCACATTGTGTGGTGCAATGGCAGAGTGCTCAAATCGGAACCATATTAGGTCCCAGGTACGAGTCCTGACATGCCACTGATCTTGTGCCCTTAGGAAAGGCTAACACAACTTTCCTCACATATTTTTAAATTATTGAAATAATAAAAGTGAAAATGAGTATTGTCTGTCCTGTATTTGTTTCTATGTGTGGGACACAACACCAGCAATAGCTGCCTTTGTCCCATGTGCATTGTATTGTATTGTTTACAGTAACAATTTCAATAAATCAAATCAATTCAGCCTTTGGCTTTTATCCAGAAACCACTTCACTGATTGATTGAATGTGGTTACCCGAGGGTTTATGTCTGGTACTTACTTGCATACTGCCTCCATGGGAATCCATTCTTGCCCCATTAGTTATGCCCTCTGGAAACACTGTGTCAGATTCTGTGAAAGAATAGATATTCACAATGTTAACCTCCGTGCCAGAGTTCTTAAGAATTAAATTAAATAAAATTCTTAAGCAGTCTCTGTAAATAGTTATAAATGTCTCTTTGGGGCTTTTCAGTACTGTGCATCATATGCAGTGGTTGCATTATGAAAATTTGATACACATTAAAACTTTATCTCAGCATAAATACCTGGACAAGGTGTACTGGAACTCAGATGCATTGTGGGATGACTGTCTGCGTAGGCAGCTGCCAGAGTTCTGAAGATGTCGTCATCTGGGGTGAGACTGGCCTCCGCAGATCCTACATGTACATGATATCAATTATACGGTTTCATTATATAGAAAAAAAAAATTTAGTGCATGGAACAACTAAAGGTTCAGCAACAACAGAAAAGAAACAACTGTACCAGAATATTAAGTGCCATTTATCCATTGTGTAGGTTTTGTTTTGAATTTCTGGTTTTCACTATAGCCTCTCAAGCAGGGCTCTGACATTTTTTCTGTCATTTGAGGTTCATGATGAGATCTGAGGGTGGAGCACCTTAGACACACCACACCTGAACCCTAGGGGGCATCTGGGGGCATGCTTCCCAGGAAATTTTGGATTTCAAGCCCTTAAAAAAGTGCCTGCATTTTGAAAAGCAAAATGGGGTTGAAATTGGTTGTTGGTGGTCCTTTGGATGTTTATTATATTTTTACCCAAGATTTTGGTTCATTAAATTTGGTCTGTTAAGGTTGAAGAAATCTTTAAGAAAAATTCTGTCACAATCCGCAAAATTCTGGAAATTAATGGAAAAAAAGGCACTGGCTAGAAGTCTTTTCTTCAAAATGAATTCAGGACACTAAATCTTTTAATATGCATTTTTAATGGATTCCTACATGTAACTACTGCACTACAGACTGAATTGTTTCAAAGTTAACGTGTGAGTTAAGAATACCATGTTTCCCTCCTACTGCAAAAAAAGATGAAAATAACATGAATTTCCAGTGAGTGTTGAAGTCCGACCTGTTTGGTAGTCGTAAGGATAGGTGGCCACAAGCTGCCCTGCAAACAGGGACACAGACAGGACAAACGGGTGGTCTTCCATCCAGGCAATAACAGCCAGACTCTCTGGCTGCAGGACACCAGCACTCAGGTTTCTACTGCCAGCTGGGAAAATTAAAGGAAATCAAAGGTTCAGCAACAACAGAAAAGAAACAACTGTACCATAATATTAAGTGTCATTCACAGAGTACCATAATATTAAGTGTCATTAAGTGTCCCCTCACAGACCCACAGGATAGAGCTAGCTGGAGGCGTGGTGTCCAGAACAGCCGACTGCTGCCAACCCCTGGGACAGGGAAACCGACAGCAGAATACTAAGTAATCTAAACCAGGATAGTGAGTGTGAGTGAGTGAAAGGTACAATGTAATGGACCTATCACATCATTACGTCACAGTTTGTTTACCGCCATGAATGCCGGTCAATCAACGCTTATATTGTACAGGGGTGTGTAGCGTGGTGTGTGTTTGTGTAGCGTTAGCCTTAATATAAGGCTTTTAGTTCAGTACTACTTTCGTCTAATGTCAACTAAATCACCCATTACGGCATGTAATGCTGTGTCAACGCAACTAGACACGGCAAAAATCAAACGTTCCTGACTTTGAAATGATCTTAATTCTTTAACTGACCGTTCTAGAATGTTCTTTAGAACAGTTAAACAAACTGTGACGTAATAAGTCCATTGTACATGTATTGTATAATGTCTGGTACAATTCAGAAAATATTAATTACATGTTACATACTAAGCTGTGTACAATGTACATTGTAAGTTGTATAAAGTATCGGCATAGGAAGCAGAGGTTCTGTGTAGGTTGCAGAGAGGTTCTACATTAGGCATAGGCTGCAGAGAGATTCTGTGCAGGTTGCAGAGAGGTTCTGTGTAGGTTGCAGAGAGGTTCTGTGTAGGTTGCAGAGAGGTTCTACATTAGGCATAGGCTGCAGAGAGATTCTGTGCAGGTTGCAGAGAGGTTCTGTGTAGGTTGCAGAGAGGTTCTGTGTAGGTTGCAGAGAGGTTCTGTGTAGGTTACAGAGAGGTTTTGTGTAGGTTGCAGAGAGGTTCTGTGTAGGTTGCAGAGAGGTTCTGTGTAGGTTGCAGAGAGGTTCTGTGTAGGTTGCAGAGAGGTTCTGTGTAGGTTGCAGAGAGGTTCTACATTAGGCATAGGCTGCAGAGAGATTCTGTGTAGGTTGCAGAGAGGTTCTGTGTAGGTTGCAGAGAGGTTCTACATTAGACATAGGTTGCAGAGAGGTTCTATGTAGGTTGCAGAGAGGTTCTACATGTACATTAGACATAGGCTGCAGAGAGGTTCTGTGTAGGTTGCAGAGAGGTTCTACATTAGACATAGGCTGCAGAGAGGTTCTGTGTAGGTTGCAGAGAGGTTCTACATTAGGCATATGCTGCAGAGAGGTTCTGTGTAGGTTGCAGAGAGGTTCTAAATTAGACACAGGCTGCAGAGAGGTTCTGTGTAGGTTGCAGAGAGGTTTTACATTAGACAGAGGCTGCAGAGAGGTTCTGTGTAGGTTGCAGAGAGGTTCTACATTAGGCATATGCTGCAGAGAGGTTCTGTGTAGGTTGCAGAGAGGTTCTACATTGGACATAGCATGCAGAGAGGTTCTGTGTAGGTTGCAGAGAGGTTCTACATTAGGCATAGGTTACAGAGAGGTTCTGTGTAGGTTGCAGAGAGGTTCTGTGTAGGTTGCAGAGAGGTTCTACATATGGTATTCACAGTAGTATAGCCTTAATGGAAACCTAGATTCCATCATGGGAACCTACATGGGAAGTCTGTGTTCAGGTCTACTTTGTTGGAGTTGCCCCGGCATTTGTCCCCCTCACAGGTCCCCTCGGTACTGCAGCTTGCACCATCTGGGTTCAGGCTGGGAAGAATGTGGATCCTTGTAGTATCTATCAGCTGGAGTAACAAGACTTAAACTCAAATTCTGGTACTGTATACTGTACACACTGTATATCATTCAAGGTATATCATGAGCTGTCTGTGAGTTTACTGTATATGCTTGTCCAGACACTAGAACAGGTTAACAGCATATTGGGTGAAGAAAAATTGACAGGCAGAATTAAATGAGGTTTAAATGTCAGGCACAGGAAATGGGGTAAACTAGAATGTCCCAGAATCTGGCCAGGAGCTGGCAGGAATCAGAAGTTGACATATGGGGGGAATTCCGGAAGCTGAGAATTGCACAAGCGACCCTCTAACCCCGCACAGTTTCTCTTCTAGTCCCAATTCAAGTACGTCATAATTAAAGTACCCCTTTTTATTAGTTCATTGTTCCAATAAATTAATGAAAACGGTACCCTGTAAAACTTCTGGGACCACATTTCCTGTATCTGACCTTTTGTTTTCTGTGGTGACATACAGTAAGTACATTTGCACCTCCACCCACATGCTGTCATTCAAAATACTTGATTATGAACACAAGCAAACACAAAGAAACCCAAAACAATACATGGCAACAAGCTGATGACAAATTAAAGACAGAACACCAATGACATGGAAAAGTACAGAATGATGTGGAATAATGCAGGTTTGAACCCCCTGACTGACCTTTGTGATGTCATCATCGTAACCATAGTTACTGCACAGGTGGTTGATGAAGGCTAGCAGCAGTTCCCGACCTATGACCTCGTTCCCGTGTACGTTCCCCACAAACTTGACCTCCGGCTGACCTGGCTGGTGAGTTCCAGGTGTTTTACTGATCTCTAGAACCCAGAGCCGACGTAAGCTGACCGTCTCACCAATACTGCAAAATAGGCAAATATCAAGAATAAGGTACAGTCATTCAAATTGAAGGGAAGTTTTGCAATGGATCAAATGTCTGAATTACATTTTAAAAAATGGACTGTGTTCTTTTATACTGAACAACTCATCTGGTTTAGCCTAGCTACATGTGCATGTATACTTGGCAACCCATCACATTAATTGTTTTATATTTATAAATTTCATTTCAAGAGTTATCATTTATAATTCTAAAGCAGTCTCTTAGTGTTGTTGTAGGCCTATAGATAGATTATTATAATATGGCTATGACGTAAGACCATCCCCCCTCCCCCTTCCTCGATGTAATATTTCCAACAAATTCTATCGACAAACTGGTCAACTATGTTGTTTTTAATTATTTATCTAGTATAAAGCACATGCCATAATTGCATTTTTGTTGGAATTAGAGAAAATGACGTACCTTCTATCGTTCCACCTTCTACCGAAGACTCTCCTACTCGGTAATGCATGCGACCGTCCGAGTAGGAG